GGAAACAGAGGCATCACATCATTACTCACAGCTACCCTCACTCCACGCTGAACAGTGTTGTTTGATATCATCACCTACTTTTAGTTTCATCTCTGTCTTAGAAACAGATGATCTGGCTCAAGTTACAATTCTTTTTATCCCCTTACACCTTAATACTGAGCTGTTGCGTAACTTTGTCCAATCTAGCACTCAGGTAAAAAAAGAAAATCTACATTGACCTTTTAAGTCCAGATTCTGCAGTAAACAGCTGTGACATCCTGTGATAAAAAAATCCCCTGTTCTTTATAACTTTGGAAGCTGCTCTTTCATGTTGCCATCAAGTAAGAGCAACAACCGACTAGTTCTAAGGGGGTTTGCAGACAGTTAAGACATTTACTGTCCTCGGGAGTGGTGCTTGATTGTTAATTACTTTGCCAACAGGGTGTTGTGATAACTTTGACAATGTATCTCAAATTTTAATTCCTCCTTTCTCTCTGGTTGTCTTACTGTACTCAAATAGCCATGTCACTGTGTGGGTACACAATGCATTGCAGAACAGAACCTCTACAAGGACTGCAGACACAACCATAACCCAAATTATAAATCATGAGAATTTTCTTACATGCCTTCTTTTCTCCTAGATTCAATACAATTTCCTTTCATTTCTCTCACTACAGCTCAAAATATTCTCCCTAACTGAAGCCCCAGTGTTGATCATTCATGAGGTGTTCAGAGGTGTTTAGAGCACTAGGCACTCTGAGACTTCGACTGACTTTATGTGGGTGGCCATCTGTACACACACAATCCCATTGAGGTCAGCCCAGGTGCAGTTCTCCTCTGAAAGCAACGGTACAGTTGTGGCCTCACATGGAAAGCTGTCAGCAAAATTATTTTGCCTCTCTTCTTTTTTCTCACAAAGCCCTGTTTACACTTTGGGTGTTTATTATAAAACAGCATCATTAGTATTATTTTCTGAATCTAGAAAGCACACACATCTCATTGGTTCTGAGCTGATGTAAATATGATCTACTGTCAAGGAAAATTGCTATAATGGGACATAACACAGGAATTTACCAGAGTGCCATGTATTCACAGGCCCAGACAGGAATTTCTTAAAGCCTGCCTTCACTGGAAAATAGTAACGCATCAATAGTCAAACTTTCCTCAGCAAGACATTTACATCTACAGAAGTTTTATCAAGAAAAGTTTTTCAGAACCAGGTGAAAATATATAATCCAAAGCAAGGCCAATACCAAACCAGCATCCCTTAATATTCATGCAGGCATGGTGGACAGCTTAAAGCATTCTCCAACACAAGTAAGACTGCTGCATCTAAGGCAAGTCCTTCAGCCTCTAACGTTTAAAGTTATTTGATGCCCAATGAATACTTGATTATGAAAAAATAGTAAAGCAGCTTTCATGGGAAAGGTTAACAACCAAAGAAAAAGGGCTGAATTGGTACCTCTGAGAAAGCCGCGTTCAAACTCCTGGTTTAAATCAGGCAGCACAAGGTTTCTGCACTCTAGGCACATGCCTCTAACACAAGTGTAACAACTGCCATGTGGGGAGCTTTTCTCTTCTCAAAGGACAACACAAAGCCTAGTGTTTGCCCTAGTACAGATCAAAACCCCCAAAGTTTAGATCTCAGAAAGTTTTGTTGGATGGGAAAACTATTTCTATTTGCTTGTTCTTCTTTTTACTGAGCACATGAATCATGGCAGCAAACTAAGCAACTATGGCAAGCTGCTGTTTATCAGGACAAAGTAGTGAGCAGGAAGAATTTGTGCTGTGGGGGTGGCATCTTCCTGACATGACTTTGATTCTTGAAATGACAGTTAAAAAAAAAAAACAACCAACAAGTCAGTTTAACTGCCCTTCCAAAGCAAGTACGTTTTGTCATTAATGTTCTGAGAAACCCAGCAGCAATGAATAACTTTGTTGAGCAGAAAACAAGTTTCTCCAGGATTCACTCTAGAACACCTGGTCTCTCCGCCAGAACTGTTCTGTGGAGAGTTCTGGCCACAAAGAAATGAGCTGCATTAGTTAAAGACAAGTAGAACACCAAGGTCTACATGCCAGCTCTACAGAGGAAAGCTGAAATTCAAGGCCACTATGAACAGCTTTGTATTTATGCGGTTTCTAAATCTTTCAGTCTTGTCCTGACCCAAAGACTGTGAAGTAGAGAAGACCATGTCTGACCCTTCAGTTCTACTTAGCTGGGTGTGCATTTTATAACACGTTTGGAGAATAACCTGTGCCACCACACTGGACAGCTCCATCCTTAGCTCATGTTCTCTCTGCAACTCATCCAGGCCAGTAGCTGCGCTAGTGCTGCTTAGTGACAACTGCAGGTTCTCCTTCTAGGGAAAATTCTGGTATTATCCTTACAGCCCTGTTCACAGTATCCAATTTAAATACATAAGATAAATATTTCTAACCCTCAGTTTTAAAAAGAGGATGAAAAAATGCTTAGTGTCTACAACTGCATGGGAATCAGAAAAAAAAAAGTTCATAACAAAAAAAGCAATAAAATCATTCCTCCATTAATTACTTAAAAATAAATAAAAAAAGCATTTAAAAAATAATTACAGTTTTGGGTGTTTCTAGCCTTTGTCAGGACTTCTCAAAGTTCTAACTAGCAAAGCTCTTACTGTTTTTGTTAATCAAAACATTTACTAGTGTCATTTGCTGAAAATTCTCCCTTTCCATTTTGAGACTGCTCTGGGCACTCGAGTAAAGCCAGTCATGCTGCAAAGTGCTCTATGGAGAAGGAGCAGCTGCTCAGACTGTTGTATACTGGCATATTTATTTTAAAGACATACACAAATTTACACCATTTGAGGACCTGGCTCTGATCATGGATTTGTGAGAACATTTCCATAACTGTAGGGTAACACAGGAAGATCAGAATGTAGCAGATGAGAAAGTACATTTTATGTTACTGATATGCTTCTAATTTTTGAGTGGAATTAGTAACAACAGAATATATGGTTGCATGCACACTCTGTGTTTTTAGTGTGGCTTTTTGTCTTTAGAGAAAGTCAGCTCTAAGCTTTTTCATCCAATCATAAGACCTTTGAATGTCTTCTGTCTCAGGAAGATCAGTCTTATGTGCATTCAGAACTGCTGAAGCACAAGCCATACTGCATTCTAAATATGGAAGGCACAAGGACAAATTCTGTATCAATTAAATTTCATGAATATACCTGGTGTACTGCACATGCACAGGTGGAGTTTTTCAGAGCATCTATCGTCAGCTATGTTAGACATCTAACTCTCATGCTCTGAATCACACTATCAGGCATCTTCCTTTCCCACTGACTACACTGAAAATTTAAGAGTCTGAGTTTGATCTGTTTAATTAAATCTAAAAGCGATGGTTAAGGCAGACTAAAATAGGTGAAATGCCCCTCATTATCAGAAATTACTTAGCTGTGTGTACCATCTGACACAATTAGTTGCAGGACATAACTAGTTAAAATTACTTGAGTAAAAAAATATGTATGAGGATTGAAAATATTCTTTGCTCCTGAGCTCAATGCAGACAGTAGTGCATGAAGAAAAAAAAAAAGAAATAAAAAAAATTACCCCTCCCCAAACGTAAAAATTTAACACAATAATAACTTTTTATTTCTGTCCTTGTTTCTCTCACGCATTGAGATCAAGAACAGCTTTCCTCTGGCTGTATACAACTTTAAAACCTTGATTTTAAAATATGATCAGAATTTCTTATGAAATCATAGTTCCTAGCACCTGGTGCTATAAGAAAAAATAGGAAGCCTCCTTCAGCTACCAGAAAACTTGTAATAGAAATGTGTCAATTGGCATCACCCGTTCCGACTGGAGTGGCTGATTTTAACTTTTTAGAATTGTCAAAGAGTGCCTAAAAGCTTTGGAGGAAAACCTTACCCCAAAAGTTTGAAATTCAGGTGATTTAAGGGAGAATTAAAGACATCAGGAACCTTTGCAAAACTGATCTCTCCCTCAAGCAGGTGACAGTGGATATGTCGGTCTAACTTTAGGAAACTACATTTTACATGAGATTTTCAAGGGCATATTTTGCATGCCTCAGAAACATCTTGAATCATTGCAGCTTGTTGTATGTGGTGAGAGGAAGCTGTTGAAGCAGAACTCTTTGCAGGAGTGGAGTCACAGCAATTTGTTTTTTCCCAGGGATTTGTGTCCTCCCAGGTGTTAAAAATTTATTTACAGAAGCTCTCATCACACACAAGACCATCTCAAATTTTACAGAGACCTAGTTACAAGCCCTAATATTCATGCATGGGTTATGACCATCAGAAAGTTCAGAGGCTTGATTCTTCATAAAAATTGTGAGGCAGAGCCTCAGGCGCTACTAACTAACTGCCACACTACTGAAGTCATGCAAACCTAACAGAAAACACTAAGTCCAGGAGATGCTTTTGGAATCTGGATTCAGATCTGGGTATAACATTGATGCAGCTCCATGTGGGATCAATTGATTCTGTAATTTTGCATAGTGTTCAACTTTCTAAACACTCTTAAAATATAGCAACTTATAGGGTCACGTTGTGATTAGTCATTGAGAAGGGCAAAAAAGAAAAAAAAAAAGGTGCGATTACTACAACTTGTAGTGTATCATTTTGTTGGCCCTCAAGCTGTGCCCAGGAAGTTACTGTCAAGAACAGGACACACAACATCAACATCTCATTTATAGGAAGCCAGGACTTAAACGCCTGTTGAGAAACATACTTAAACTCCCTGACACAAATTATAGCTACAGCTAAGTAGTTTTGAAAAACAAATAAGCCCAATACAGAAAGCCTTCATCATACACTTCATCGCTGAGGGAGCAAGAATATAATTTTAATTTCTATCTTGTACGGAAGAGACACAAGCATAGGTTAAAGCTTTAAGTGGTTCTCTGATGCATAAGTCTTGTTTTACTTTTGAACAGAAGAGGGGACTCCACCTGAAATGAATTGGGTACTAAATGCATAATAAAGCCAATATCCAAGAAAGCAAGAACAGAGAAGACTTACTATCTTTTGGGATGCTCTTCCGGAATCTTTCCAGGTCCACATTGGGAGGTCTGCTGGGCTTCTGCGGGGGCTGGCCCAGCTTGAACAGTGGAGGCAGGGATTTCCTCTTGGGGATTCCTGAGCTCCTGTCCCCATCCTCTTTCTCTTGTGATCCACCTAATGGCGTTCCTGCAGCAAGCCCTGTGTTCGTCTTACGGAACTTAGAAGAAGAACCTGATTCTTCCTGGATAATTTTATTGAGAAAGATGTTCTTGGCAGCACTCATTCCCTTTTCTTCAGTCTTTTCCTCCACGTTTTTTGGGATGCCTTGAGATGAGCTGGACCAGTGGCCAGTAGGCTTCAGAGCCACATTAGAAAAATGACTGCCTGCAGCTTCTGCAGCAGGATTACTATTTTCATCCATTTCCTTTGCTGCTTTAAATGAGTGTATATTTGGTCTAGGGCCTGACAGTCCTTTTTGCAGAAAAATATTTTTATTAGAAGTGTCTTCGTTGTGAGAGCCCTCATGGTTTACAGAGGGTTTCTGTGCAAGAGGTGGTTTAGAGAAAGGAGGCTTGGGCTCATTTTCTTGTGTTGCAGACATGAACTTTTCCTTAACTGCAGTCACTTTTGAAAATGCTGGTTTTGCCTCACTCTCCTGTGGTACAAAATTTGAATTTGGTTTTGTTCCCAGAGGACTTTTTTCTTTCTCATAAGGAGCAGAGTTAAGGAACTTGTTTCCTGCAGGTTTTGGATACAGAGGCTTTGACTCTTCTTTTGCTAAGTCACTGGTTTTGGTAGGGGCTTTAGTGCATCCAGCTTTTCCATCATTTTCTCTGTTAGTTGCCTGAAACTGAACCCCAAACTTTTGTGCCACTGGTTTCAAATATGGCGGCTTTGGATCCTTCTCTGTTTTATCATCAGTTGAAGGCTTGACCCCCAGAGGAGGCTTCGGATGAACAGGTTTGTGAAAGGTACCGGGTCCTGAAGAAGCTGCATTTCCTTGACTTGCAAATTTCTCAAGGGCTGCTTTCCTCATCTGTAATCCTCCTGAATGGATAGGTGGTCCTGGGACTTTGAAGGGTCGACTGTTACCAGAAACATCCTCTGTGGGGCCGTTACCCCTGTTAAATTTCTCCATCAGTGACTTCACGCGTGCCTTGCCCTCCTATAAGCATAAAGAAGAGAAAAAGCAGCAATGAGAAAGTCCCTGTTGCAATGTTCACACATACTGTACTTTAAAGAGTTTCCTGGTCTGAGGCTTGTAGTACTGCTGATTGGCTGTGGAGATATTGTAGCACATCTTCCTGTAGGGTTAGAAAAGCTGAGCATTTTGTTATATCCTTGCTGTGGTTACACAACCTTTTAAAATTTTCAGTGCAGGTACTGCCTTTAGAGAGTGGTCATGCAGCTTCTTTTGGGCATACTATAATTTCTGTTTATTTCTGGAATTGGGAACTGAGCACCTAATAAATACAAGAAAAACCATACTACTTTAAAATTGATGTATCCCTAAAAATATGAGTGTCCTGCAGTGAGAAGCATAGAGGGTACTAGAACTTGGATTATGTACCAAACCAGTGTTATTCCGGTCAACTCTTTGGAGAACTGGAAGTTCCTTTGTGAAAACACAAATTCTTCTGGTTTCGGGGGTATGTGGATCGGTTTTACTTTCCCTTCTCAGCAATTTTCTTCCCTGCTACTCCCCACACACACGCACACTTTGTCCTTGTTTCTTTTCTCCATTTTGTATTTGAAAAAAACTACACATGTGTGGATAGAAAATGAAACTATGTGGAGTAAAATAGGAAGAAATGATAATCATACACCCAGATACTGCTAAAGATATGTAGCTTCTTGGGTAAGAAAGAAGCTGAACAATTTCAAGTGGAAAAAAACCCAGCTTCATTTGAAAATGTTTCAATTGGTCAGCCCTATTCAATACCTTTCAGGACCAATCTTTAATATGAACTGAGAGGAAAAGCTCAATACATTTGAATCCAGTACAATTAAAACACAGTGCAGTGATGAATGGGATAAGAGAGAGTGACTCTGCATTGGGCTGAGGCCACCTTTGGGTTCCGGGAGCCCTCTGTAGCAGGGAGTCCTTTTCCAGCTGACAGTGACAGCAGCGGTGCAGCTATGGCAGATATGCTCACATATCTGATTCACAGCTTGTTTGAGTGGGATCTGTTTTGTCTGTGGAAGTTAAGCTCTAAAAGTAATAAGTATAAATAAAATAAGTATAAAGCAGGGATGTTATACTAGGAAGGGATATGAATCATTTGTTTGGAAATAAAGGAATATCACTACGAAGCACAATAAATAGGGGTCTGAAAAAAATTTTAGAAGGAGGTTGAAGAATGACTTGTGTCTTCACTTAGTACAGTTCAGGAGGTGTTCAGTAATTTTTTTTACTTCATTAGCAAGAACTTCTAAATTGAGGTTTTGCTCCTTTTGCCTTCTGTCTGATTGTATTACATTACATGAATTACCTGTAATGTTGGAATAGTTTTACCTGACCTGACTTCTGCAACTTAAAGTTAATTTTCCCAGTCTTTCAGTACCACCAAGAAATTCAGTCTCTCCAAACTGTTTGTATTATACTACAAAGTTACTTAAAATAAAGGCAGCCAAAAAAAAGACAGACATATACGAAACTTTTCCTCAGAGCACCATGCTATTATCTCTTTTGCACATACAGGGAAGGGAGGAAGTACACATTTACTATGGAGATTATCAGGTTTAAGCCATCTACTGTTGGTTGACACATATGCACTCACACACACACGCAATTACACTGCAGAGATACGTATACGTATCACTAATCGTTCAAGATTTCTCCCACAATACCTCACAAAGCCCTGATTTTACCCACTTAAACAGAGAGTTAAGCCAATTGCAATGCCAGAGAGAATAACAAAGCCTTTTGTCTCTGATCTGTTTTGACTTTGTACTGATGCATGCTTTATTTTTAACTTAGCAGTGCATTTCTTTTGAAAGTTACAGCAATAAATTGATTCTTCTGCTACTTCCATTTGAAATTTAAGAAAACATACTGTGTCAAACTACAGTAATGTGAACATTCTGGACAAGAGACATTCAGCATGTAGACCTTTTGGAAGATGGAAATCTGGCTTTGAAGAAACTTTTCTTGTTATGACATGTGGTTTCTGAGAAGTTTTCTACATCTTGTAATAGCAAGATCAATTACATTCATGCATGCTTTCAAAGGCACTGAATCATTGAATACTGCTGTATTAGGCCTATTAACAGATTTCTTTTAATACATTTCTTCCTAGTACTGTGAACAAACCTTGCCCTAGTCATACAGATTTACAAGCTCTTTAAAAGTAAAAAGCTCCTGGGCATGTGGAAGGGTTTAAAATCAGCAACGTAGCCTCCTCTCTCATTTACTTACAGTGAGTAGTAGGTGGTAAAGCTAACATTAAGAATCAGAAGAGAGTAAGAAACTGTGAAATCTTTCTGCTTCTCTTTAATGTATGTCACCAGTTCCTGCTTTCATAAACTACGTTATACCAGAAGCCATATTGTGGATTCTAATGCACAACCTGACTGACCAGGTAGACAGATGGGAATTTGGGAAAAAGTGAGAGAATCTTTTATCTGTGGCCCTCCTCATAGAGTAATCTTCGCAGTTTCTGTGTTTCCCTTCCCAGAAGCAACAGCAATTACCTATTCCATTAGCACATACAATAGGTGGTAAATCATGAAATGGGAACTTGAAAGGATTCTGAAGTGAGATTAAGTTCACCCTGCCCTTCCCCTCTAAAGTGCAAAGTGCCTGTGGGGCAGAGGAGTCTCATGCAGGAAGTACTTGGGTTATTTTCTGAACTTTCTCTTTGTGCTGTACTGGGAAACTCAGTGCAAAATATTTTGGCTTTTCAGCTTCTGATCTGAACTGGAAGCAGCACATAAGGAGGACAGTAACATTTGCTTTGATATGAGATGGTTCTATTATTCAAATGTGTTTGCTCAAATCTAGAACAATACCCAGGTTTTAGTTCCCATGCCGTAGATTCATCAAGGAGATTTGTATATGCAGTGCTTTCCCAGCCTCCCACTGCCTTCAACAAAGACTCTCACAGATACCAAGATACATTTGTATGGAATTCTTCCACAACTAGATCTTAATTACACCTCAGTGTAAACAAGTGCAATTCTCCATTATTTACAGTATAATCGTACATTTCTATACAGAAGTACAGTGTAATGAGAACACAAGAAATACAAAGGTTCCAGCTGTATTTTCCCTGAATTTACTGTGAATATTCCAGTCTCAATGAGTAGCCTGATCAAAATGCATTTATTTTGTTTTGGCATAAGAATGCTCTCATTATTTACTTTCTAGTCATGGTGAAGCCAAAAGATCATTTAACTTCAGCTTCCCATTGTGGTTGGTCTTTCTTCAAACAGCAACACTGGATCAATGAAAGGAGCAGCAGATGTGTGTGCCTATGATCCTTAATTAAGCAAATTAAATATATGTAACTGTCGACTGTACAGGGAATTCTACAGTTCTTCAAAATACATGCAGATCTGATTTATAAAGGAAAACCCCCATCTTTTCACTTCTCACCTGTAACTTTTTCCTTTCTATTCCCAAGTGATAGGGTCTAAACAGGTCTTTTAAAAACTCATAATCCTTTAACAGGATCAGATCTTGATGAGTTTGCTATAAAGTAATGAAATAAAGATTAAAAAGCTATCCCTTTAAGAAGAAAATTCTGTATACTCATAAATTCTGTGACAGTGAAATAACCAGAGAAACTGATAACCACTAGAGGAATTGAACTCTAACCCATGAACAGGATATAGGGAATAAGGAACTAGACAGAAAAGTCAAGGAAAATAACATATGAAAGTTACAGAAAAATATAAATCTCAAAATTATTTAGCAACAGGCCTGATTTAATTTCTACTGAAGTTAATGGATTTTTGAAGTTAATGGATTTGGTATTCTGAATTCATGATAAATTATTGCTTGACTATCTCCTTTTCTGGACAGAGAGACTTCAGATATCATTATGCAACTTTGTTGTTCCCAGAAGAGAGAAATAATTTCCACATTGCTTTGCTTCCCCTTGAGTCTAGTTAGAATTACTAGCTGAAGAAGACTTCCTCTAATAGTGAGTGTGGCATTTGGAAAGTGGATTACCATCTGTACCTATGAACGTAGGTAGAAGAAGTAGGAAAAGAGGGCAGAAAGATAGCACTTGTCAGAACAAAAAGACTTGTTAATACAATGGTTGATATAGAAGAGAAGCAAACCTTCATCAGATACTAAATAATGAAGAGGCAGGCTATTCTGCTGTCTGGGGTTTTTTTGAAAGGCAGACCTCTAGGATGGAGAGGATAGACAGAAATCTAAGCGATTCCTCATTGAGAGGCTTACAGCCTCTATGTTGTCCTGAGAGCATCATTTCAAACATCCCTCTAACACCAGCAAGACAAAAGCATCACACTCATGAAGATATACGGTTATCAAAATTTGACCAGTGTTCCAGCCTGATCACACTGTATTCTTTGTCTTTTCTGTTGTGCATTCGTCTACACCTTTGTTGTCCCTCTCTTGTCACTTTTTCTCATCTTTTACCTAGTCATAAGACCAACTACATCATATTGCATGAATGTGAGAGGACAATACAGTTCATCCACTGCAGGTCAGTTTGAGACCAGGACTAGTGAAGACATAGAGCTTGACCAGAACAGCCAGATGACATCCAGCTTGGTCTCAAACTTACTGTCACAGCCTATACACAAGGCCAAAACATCTACCCATGCATGGTCATCTCTTCATCCTAAGTCCTGGTAAGTTCAACACAAAGTTTCACTCTTATTTTCTTGCTTCTTTTTGGTATCTGTCTACATCAAAATCAGAAAAACTATCAACAATTGGCAGCTCAGTCTTCAACAACAGCAGCCTGCCAGCTTCAATTTTCCACCAAGAACTATTTGATAAAAACAGATTAATGAATATCCCTTCCTGAAAAGGGATTATGATTCTTTTTAACATGGCTTTATATAAGCACAGAGTTTCATGAAACTTAATAATTTGGACTTTTAAAATTATTTTTCTCAAATGCTAATTAACAGCTTTTGGAATAATGTAAATTGTCTACCGAGTCTGCCCAGAAATGAAGC